CAAACGACCATCCTTTTCCATTCTCTTATAAAGCAATGGTTCAAATTTTGCAGGGAAATAAATAATGTCTCAAAGAATGTCTGCGCAAAAGATCGTGACTCTTACTAAAAAAGAAACAGTAGTTACACTTGTGAAGGAAATTTTTTATGTTGAATTTTTAATAGTAAAAATCGAAATGTTACACATAAATTTTACATAGTTATTGCAGTCACTATATTGATCGTGTGACATCACGGGTGACTGTTATTTACTGGTGATTTCTTCTGATTTTTTGACTTGTGCTGTAGACTCTTCTATAGAATACTTTAAACATTGAAGCTAATATTTTTCTTTGGTTGGAACATTTAGAAGGCATTGATTCATTTGGCTCAACATTTTGATCAGGTTGTTTATTTTAATGGTTTCATTGGCATTTATGATAAACTGAGAGAAATTGAATAACTTGTCAATAAAAAGATGATGCCTGGGAACTTTTTATTAATAATTAGCAAAATTAAAGATTATGGTGAATGGATCAAAGTTTAAACATTCGCATCATATAAAAATAAAATAAATGGCCAGATACAATCAAAAAAAATTTTATTATTATCAGGTTGAGAGGTTATTTGCATTCCTAGCTCAAGAAATAAATGTACATTTTGGTGACCAGGAAGCAAAATTCTATAAATAGCGCAATTACATCATTATTGGGAAATGAGAAAAATAATAAGAAAATTTTTTTTAATTTCAATAAACAATCAATCATGAGAAATAAATGATGGAAAGATGACCTCAAAACCCTTTGACTCATATATTTGAAAATCACCCAATGAAATTATTGATTTCCCTAAATTCAATTCCGATTTATCAAGTTCACTAATATTATAATCAACATCTTCGCCTTCATCTTCGCCTTCACCTTCACCTTCATCGTCATCATCATCATCAACATCTTCTTCTTCCTCCTCTTCCTCCTCATCAACATCATCAACATCATCACCATTATCGTCACTATCTTCATCATCATCTTCTTCTTCTTCATCTTCAAAAATCTCGTCTCCTCCAGTAAATTTTCTATTATTGTGATTTTGACTAATTGATGATGACGGTGATGATGATGATGACGACGATGATATAGTTGGTATATTGATATTTGATGATGATGATAGTTGACTGGCAGTGTTTTCGCCTTCAATATTCGTTGCAATTTCACTAAATAATTCTTCTCTCGAAGACCTTTCTTGTGTAGCATTCATTGATTTAGTGATAGAATTTCTATTTAAATAAAACCGTCCTGCAACATCTTCTAAATCAATTGTGTACTCTTCATAAATATAATTTTTTGATATGTAATTACAATCTTTAATCGTCAATGTTCTGAATATTTCACCATTATTACTATTACTATCATCGCCTGGTTTTTTTAATACGTATAAGTCGCCAGCAAATTGAACTATATTATTCGGCAACCTGTAGATTGATGTTATTCTAAAATATTCTTTTTCATCTGACTCATTATTTGAGGTTAATCTCACAAAATCATAAACTTTGATTTGTTCTGCACCGAACCATATTTCACTATAGTGAGGATAGCCTTTTGAGTCAACAATTCTTTTTTTTTGAATTGGATCTTTAATTAAATCAAGATTGTTACTATTAATTATGTAATCATAAATTATTCCTGTTACAAAAGATCCCTGAATATTTTTTGCGATTTTTACTGCGTCCAAGAATTTAGTGAAATAAATTTCATTCGAGTATTCTTTGATCAAATCATCGAGATCTTTTGAAAGCCATGGCGATATAGTAGATGGTGGACGTTCATAAGTTTCATTAAATGTCAGAAGTTTTATCTTATATAGAATAGCTTGATCTGTTGAAACGCTTGATGAATCAGCAACATGGCTGTTTATTTTATTCTCATCGGTAGTAGTAACAACTTCAATTATTGTTCCTGGCCAATAAATTTCACTCAAGTTTTCATTATTTTTGCAATTTTCATTTGTTTTTAACAATTTAATAGGTATACTTGAG